AAGCCTGCGATGTCCAGGATGCCCAGGAAGGATGCGCCCTGCCGCGGGCTGCGGTCCAGGGCGCGGTTGAGGCGCAGGACCAGCCAGCGGAAGAGGCGCTCGTAGGTGGCCTTGGCCAGAGCCTCGAGCGCGAAGTCGGCCTGTGAAGCGGGGCGTCCGCAGGTGAGGTGGGAGGGGACCCGGAAGCAGCCCCCACCACCACCCCGGCTTCTCGGTCATAAACGGATGCGAGCCAGAGACCACTGTGGCCCCCATCCCCGGGCCGCTTCCCACAGCTCGGGGCTCAGGAGCCAAGTAAACGGCTCAGTTCGAATCCCGGCTCTGCCACCCAGATGCTGTGTGACCCCGGGCTCAGGAATATACCTCTCTGGACCTCAGTTTCTTTGTCTGTAAAAGTGGGAGTGGACAGTATCACCCAGCTAAGGGGAACCGAGGTCAGTGTGACCCCAAACTCATCTTCCCCCACTGTGTCACCCTCATTCTGGTATCTCAACACCCAGCCCAGGACTTCCTCATGTCTCCCACCTCTACCCGTGCTTGGGGACCAGGCGTCCCTGCAGCAGCTGAAGGAATCTTTACACAGAAGGAAAGTGGCACCAAGTCACTCCCCGACCTCCCACTGCATTTTAAATAAAACTAACCTCCTTACTGCAGCCCCTAAGACCTTGCATGATCTGTCCCCTGCTGGCATCTCTAGCTTCACTGACCTCATTGATGGGCCCAACTCAGAGCTTGCTTCAGCCCTAGGGCCTTTGCACTTGCTGTTCCCGAAATTGGTTTCATTGTGAAAGAGACGCGAGCTGCATGAAGACCCAAGACTGTGTCTGCCCACCGCCTACCTGCTCCTTGGTCTGGGCTTTCTGGACGTAATCTCGGCCAACCTTGATGCGGGGCGTGAGCAGGGCTCGGGAGAAGTCGGTCACGCCCAGCCCCAGGAGGCGGCAGAGCTTCTGTGCAGCTGTGGGTGAGAAGCAACACATCCGGTTAGCACCGGAAGTGGCCTTGGCCTCGGTGTAGGAGAGAGGGCGCTGCTCCCCTCTGGCCGCTAATTCTCCGTGTAGGAACCAGAGACCCAATAATCAGCCACAAGAATCGCGCCTGGGCGCCAAGGCCACACAGTGTACTTTATCATGGAGAAGACCAGGAAGGAACCGGGGTGCTCAACAGTTGGGGATCAGAAAGGAGCAGAGGGGAGCACACCACTTTGGTAAATACAGGAACATAAGACGATTACAAATAAACCCTTTCTGTTTTTCTAAATGCTTCAACATTTTTTAGCCAGAAAAGAATGGGAGAAAATTATGCTGGGGACTATTTCATGAAATAGAACACTGTGTAATTTTAAATTAAATAAAAATTTAATAAACTCCTCTTTTAAAAATCAAATAAACATTTTAATTTAACTCTAAATTTATCTAAAATAAAAGGACTGTGTGTTTTGGCACTAGGGATTGAACCCAGGGCCTTTGCACGGAGCTACATTCCAGCCCTTTAAAAAATGTTTATTTTGAGACGGTCTTGCTAAGTTGCCAGGTCAGGCTAGGCTCTGGCTCAAACTTGGGATCTTCCTGTCTCAGCCTCCCAGACTATGGGATAACAGGAGTAGGCCTCCATGCCCGGCTTCAAATATGGCTTATTTTTATGGAGAAAAATGGTGGACAAATGCCTGGACACAAAGAAGCTAAGTAGGTGTTTGTGGAGGAGAAAGGGAGAGGTTTGTGGGAGCTGTATTTCTTCTTTCTGCTCTGAACCCATAATAAAGGAAAATTTTCAAGCATCTGTTACTTGCAGAGGGGGGAACAGTTACTACAAATTCTCAGGGTCAGCAGAGAAAGCACCTACAAGGGAGAATGCAGTCACTTGGTCCTAGCCTCTATTTCTTTACACTGACTTTGCATTCATTTCAGAGCTAAACAAGTGGCTTGGAAATCCAGCAGGAGATAAATGCACCGTGGAATACTACGCAGCCACTAACAGGATGTTGTTTTTAGGCTCCCAGCCTCTGGCTGCCCTTTGGCATTTGGTCAGGCCCACACACTGTTTTTCTCATTAACGTCCGAAGACAAAATGCACAGGGTTTCACAGGACAATGATGACAGCGACACAGTTCTACCCACGGAGCCCTGACTAAGTAATCTCTGCAGAGTTCTAAGGACCAACTTGGCAAGTTACCCCTAATGCACAAGGGAAAAAGCAGGGTGCAAGATGGTTAGCAGGGTCTGACCTCAGTATTGTACTGCCAATAACTGTGCGGCAGGGCGGGTGGGACCAGAGCCCCGAAATCACAGGTACCATCGCTGGTCCATGCCTTCGAGGGCTGGGGAGGGGCTGCCCCCCAAAAGGAGCTGTGGGATTTCCTAACAGGATGAAGGCTGTCCGAAAGCTCTCATGCTCTCCAGGCTGCGGATGCAGGCTCGACTGTTTCTGGAACGGTGGGGTCAACAAGTAGACAGCCTCGCCCAGGGAGCAACACCCCAGCGTGTGAGGCCTCCTTCTGGGGTGTGTGGTCATGGGCACTTTGCCTTCTCCTTGTGCTCATGTGTCCTGCCTGAGCCTCTCCTTCCGGCTCCTGTTGTCTTTGTCATATGTCCATTTTGGTTAACATTTTTAGAAAGGAGTCGGGCGCGGTGGCGCACGCCTGTAATCCCAGCACTTGAGAGGCTGAGGCAGGAGGATCGCTGTGAGTTGGAGACCAGCCTGGGCTACATAGTGAGTTCCAGGTCAGTCTCAACTACATAGTGAGACCCTGTCTCAAAAAACCAAAAAAAAAATTTTTTTAGAAAGGGACCAGTGACTGTAATTCTGTTTATGAAAACCGGAAAAGAAAAAAAAAAAAAGAGAGAGAGAGAGAGAAAGGCAGGCGTGGTGGCGCGCGCCTGTAATCCTAGCACTTAGGAGGCTGAGGCAGGAAGATCGCCATGAGTCCGAGGCCAGCCTGGGCTGCATAGTAAGTTCAAAGCCAGCCTGGACTACACAGCGGGACCCTGTCTCAAAAAGCAACTAGAGAGGAAGAGAGAGAAAGAAAAGATATGCAGAACCCTGAGGCCGGGAGCCTACACTAAGCGCTGACTGTGCTGCGGGATAGGGTCCCTGCTCGCTCCCCTTTAAGGTGCTGGGATTGTGGAAAATCAGAATCCATACAACAGTGGTAGAGCAGGAAATTCCTGGACTACACAGCGGGACCCTGTCTCAAAAAGCAACTAGAGAGGAAGAGAGAGAAAGAAAAGATATGCAGAACCCTGAGGCCGGGAGCCTACACTAAGCGCTGACTGTGCTGCGGGATAGGGTCCCTGCTCGCTCCCCTTTAAGGTGCTGGGATTGTGGAAAATCAGAATCCATACAACAGTGGTAGAGCAGGAAATTCCTGGATCCTGGAAGCTCTTGAGGACGACGTTGCCGAACTGCAGCACGGCGGACACCATCCGCAGCATGGCTGAGGGCGGCAGGGCGCGAGGTCAGCGACTCTGACCGGGACGTGTGGGCTTACTCGGCCCTTTGAACATTTTGCCTAAAAACCCTAAAGCGAGTTCCGTCCCCCAACCTCGCACCCCTTAGCACCCACCCGTGCTTTGCACTCTGGATCCCAGCTTAGCTTTTATTCCGACCACGGGTTAGATTTTGCTTTGTCGCCCTATCCCATGAGGTGATCCTTATATGACCAGAAAGGACTTCGGGGAGCACGGAGGATGGCAAAAAGTGAGTGAAAGATGCTGCGGTGTCAGAGTCGCACACACAGCACACCGGTATCCGTGCAACAGGGAGGGTTTTGGTTTCCTGTGCCGGTGACTGCACACAGGACGTTCACACTGAGCTACATCTCCGGTCCCCTTAAAAATTCTTTTACCTTTGAGCCAGGTGTAGTGCTGCACACCTGTAATCCCAGCACTCTGGCAGCTGAGGCAGGGGAATCGCCATGAGTCTGAGCCCAGACTGGGCTACATAGCGAGATCTCGTCTCAAAAACTTTTTGTTTTGTTTCAAGCCAGGGTCTCCCTAAATTGTGAAATTGCCCAGGCTGGGCTAGAACGTGTGATCCTCCTGCCTCTGCCTACTACAGTACTGGGATTCTAGGTGAGTGCCACTGCATACAAGAAATAAAGTACACTTGATCCTCGTGACTTGCACTAGTTGTGGTCACCGTGAGCACTGAGGGAATGTGAGGCATCACTCAGGGAGGAAATACAGGGCCAGGGTCCCGTGAGCCCCTGGCCACACATCCAGCAGTCAGTGGCTGTGCCTTGCGTCCCTCTTGCAGACGGTGATGTATGGGGTACACTGGTGGCTTACGTGCGTGGTGCTCGGGGGCAGCGCAGCGTAACGCACGCCTGACTGAAACCCATCTCATACACTCCTGGCTCTTAAGATGCTGGGAGCCGCGAGCACAGGAGAGGCCCAGGCCTCTTCGACCTCCACACCTCCACTGGGCCGGGCCGGGGGGTGGTTTCAGGTGGCAGAGACTGGGCTGGCGGGGACCCCCCGCTGATATCCCGTGTCCCTGAGAACTGCTCCTCAAGAGTCCCGAGGGACATTTGAGTCCGTGAGATCAGGGCTACTTTCTGAGACTAATTTGCAGCTGTTTCACCTAGAAACCGAAAAGGGTTTTGTGCTTGGTTTTGAAACAGCACTGAGTTGTCCAGAAGGGCAGCTGCCCGTGTATTGCCAGGGACGTGGCCTCCTTTCCAGGCCTCTCAGGTCTCGGTGTGTGGCTTTCTAGGACGTCTGACCGCTCACTGGGTCAGAGGGACGCTCGCCCACCCTCACTCCCTCTCCGCCTCCCCAGGTCCCACACCCTGCGTGACAAATCAGGAGTCAGAGCTCACTCTGATCCACATTTCACAGATGGGGAAACTGAGGCAGACAACAACTTGCCCAAGATCATCCGACTCACAAGCCAGCAGAGCTGGGGCTCAAACCAGGCCAGTGTAGTTCTGGCAGGAGCCCGAGCACTCAGCAGCCACGCCTGCCCCGCCCTCCGAATCAGCACACATTTTGACTGGAAGCGTGATCTACAAACACGGCAAATGTTTAAATTTGAAAACATCATTAGATGGGGCTGGGGATTTGGCTCAGTGGTTCCCCCACCTGCTCAGCAAGTGCAAGGTCCCAAGTTCGATTCCTGGTACAAAAACAAAACAAAACAAAACAAAACAACAACAACAAAAAACCCCACATCATTAGAGTAAAGGACACATTGGCCGGGCGTGGCACATGCCTGTAATCCCAGCACCCAGGAGGCTGAGGCAGGAGGATGGCTGTGAGTTCAGGACCAGCCTGGGCTACATAGTGAGTTCCAGGTCAGTCTCAACTACATAGTGAGACCCTGTCTCAAAAACAAAAACAAAAAAAACAAACAGGACACATTGCCATTAATTCCCTTCAAAATACCCCGCTTTTATCCCTAACACACTTATCCCATGGTTCTTGCCACTTTCTGAAGTTCTGGAAATCCTTGTTTGTGAGTATTTAATCCTGCTGTCATGCCTGCCTTGATGTCTTTTGTTTTATTTTTTTGTGTTTTGTGACATGGTCTCACTATGTAGCCCAGGCTGGCCTCAAACTCACAGCAATTCTCCTGCCTCAGCCTCCCCAGTTCTGCGATTACAGACGTGCACCGCTGATGTCTTGAACCGATTAAAAATGTTTACTTTTCAAGGTCATTTTGGCTTTGGGGAAGGTCCAGAGGTCCGGTAACTAAGGAGAATGAGGACATGGCACATTGTTTCTTACAAGGCTGCTTCTACTGGATGGCACTTGGCGGTGGCATTCACCACATGTTTGATCACATCTCATAAGTATACTCACTAGAGGGGACTTCCAGAGCTGCTAAGGAAAGTGGATACGTGTGCGGCAAGCGGGGAAGTGTTTTAAGGGGGATTCATGACATGTCTTTCATTGCAATAAATAATACTTGAGCGCTCGCCGAGCTCACACGATCACACTGCCTGTGTGAGCCAGCACAAGGCACAGAAGAGCGCACAGCCTGCAGCCGCCCTGCTCCAGGGGACTGCTGGAGTGGACACCCGTGGGACTGTCCCCGAGAACCCCGCTGCCACAGATCGGGGTCCCAGCAAGGGTGCAGGGAGCAGCAGAGAAACCACCGTCTGCTGGCCCCGTGGGCACCGGGCCGGACAGCCTGGGAGGGGCGGCGTTTGGCGGTGCTGACCACGGGGGGACTTCGGGGGAGCTGGCATTCAGAGAGGGGGCGGCGTGGGGAGGGCACGCAGCTTCTGCCGCCCAGAGCTGGACGCAGCCCCGCGGAAACGCGGACAGAGAAAGCACAGCTTCCCTGAGCAAAAGGTCACGGTGATAAGGGCCGGCCTGGGGCGCAGGGAGATTAAACACACGTGAAATCCTGGGCTGGGGGAGTGTGTGTTCCTGTGTGTGTGTGAGACTAAGATTTCTTTTCTTTTTTTTTGGCAAAAGGACACTACTGGGACAAGCGGCACAGGCTGTGGGCTGGAGGATGGGCCCGTGCCAACACCAGCTTCCTGGCTCTGCTTCCTCTCTGTGGCTGAGAAGAGGGTGTCCCTGGGAAATGCACACTGACCCTCTGTCCCCACGATGTCCCACCCAGCCCCAGGCCTCAGTGTTGATCTCGCCATGTAATTAAATAAAGCATCTTTTTGCCAGTACTGGGGATTGAATCCAAGGCCTTCACGTTGAGCTACATCCCCAGCCCTTTTTTTAATTTTTCAATTTCAGACAGGGTCTTGCGAAGTCACTTAAATTGCCCAGGCTGGGCTCAGACTTGCCCATCCTCCTACCTCAGGCTCACAGGTTATGTGGGAGGGCTCCTGGGGCCATCACATGTGTCCTGACCAGGGGAGGCAGATTTCACACACACGTGCGCGCACACACACACACACACACACACGCACGCACGCACGCACACCACAAGGGCGGAGGTGAAAACCCTATACTCTGAAGCTGGGGTAAGGGCCCAGGAGCAGCGGGGCCTCTGGAAGCTGGCAAAGGCTGGGATTCTCCCCGGAGCCTCCAAAAGAACAGCCCTGCCCACCCTGCTCTCAGACAGCGGCAGCTGACCTTGCAGTCCCAGCTCCAGGGCAGGAGGGTGCAGCAAAGACTTAACTTCCCGTCTCTACCTCACCGAGACCACCGCTCCTTGGGGAGCCACCGACCCCTCGCTCCCCTCCCCAACCGTGCCTGCCGCCTGCGGTGAGCACTCTACAGATGCTCCCACGGCGGACTTCAGCTTGCCTGTGACAGGAGGAGCCCTTCCCCAGTCCCCACTGCTCCTGGGGTCGAGCCTAAGCCCTAGCCAGGTCTGTAGCACCCTGCCCACCCCCAGCCTCCTTCGGGTTCCGCCACCGCACTCCCTCCTGAGCCAGGCCCCAGCCCAGGCTGTTCCCTGCTAGATGCCATTCCTGCCCTGTACCCGCAGGGCTCAGCCCAGTGCCACCTGCTGGGGGAGGGGGCCACCCTGACCTGTGCCAGGCCACACGTGGGCCTGGCAGCCCCAGCAGGCTCAGCTCCGTGCAGCCCTGCCCACCCCCCTCGGAAGGCCCAGACAACGTATCTGTGAGGCCGGAAGCCCTGGGTGTCCCTGCCTTGTCCCGGTCACTTCTGTGGCTGCAGAGGTCCGGCCTAGGAAGTCTGTCCTGCACCTAATAAATCCGTACATCGGTGACTGAGTGGCAGCTACCCAAATGGGGCACACTGGATGGGGGGCCTTGCAGCCTGACCTTGGCACCTGCATGGCCCTCTGGGCCTCAGCTTTTCTGCTGTGCTCAGTGGCCTCTGGCACTGCTCTCTCAGAGCTCGGACAGGGACAGTTAAGAGCCCTAGGAATGCTGAGAGGTTTCTAGGTGCTGGGCTCACCCCCAGCCCAGGTCCCAGGGCGCCTCCAGGGCTGGAGTCTTTGGAGGACTCAGGACTGGTATGTTGAGCGGCTCCTCCAGAGGGCCCCTTGGGGAGTCTCTGGTGCAGCAATGGGTGGGGCAGGGGCCCTGGCCATGGGAAGGACAAACTGTTCCCAGGGACTTGGTGTCCTCCTCTGTGGAATGGGCTCCATCATGGCTTCTTTGGTCTTTTGTTTGTTTGTTTGTTTGTTTGTTGAGACAGGGTCTCACTATGTAGCTGAGACTGACCTGGAACTCACTATGTAGCCCAGGCTGGTCTCAAACTCACAGTGATCCTCCTGCCTCAGCCTCCCGAGTGCTGGGATTATAGGCGTGCGCCACCATGCCCAGCTCATCATGGCTTCTTTGGATCTGCACCATCCAATATGGCAGCCACTGACCACATTTCAACTACATCTAAATTACCCAAAGTTAAGTGGAACTTAAATTCAGTCCCCGCAAGACATCTGCTCAGCCCCCTGATAGGGGATCTGTTAGTATCTCCTTTATATGGAGGGAGAACTGGGGTCGACCCAGGAGAGGCAGCCCTGGCCAAGTAGCAGACAGCAGGTAAAAGGTAGAGCTGGGACTCAAACTCAGGTCCTCTGGCACAACACTCTGAGGTTTCACCATTACACTGTCTCACTAAAGACCAAAAACAGTCTCAGGGATGTTGTGTGTTTGGTCATAGCTGCATGCTCAGGGACTGGAACAGTGCCCAGCACACAGAAGGTTTGTGAATAACTCATCTCCAGTGGTGGGTGGTGGGGAGTTAGCTCAATGGCACTGCGCCTGCCTTGAAAGCTGAAGGTCCTGAGTTTCATCCCCAATACCAAAAAACAAAACAGTGATTCATCTCTTCAAATTCACACTTGGGAGAGAGAGACCATTCTTCAGTTGAGGAAGCGAGGCTCAGAAGGAAATACTGACAATACTGGCTTATTTCCAGCAAGGAGGAGGCTGGATTCACACTGTGGACCTTGACTCTTAGCTGTGAAGTGGGGCTGAGACCCTCGTGGCCTTCAGGGACCTCCGTGAGCAGGGTTAGCTCTAGGGAAAGCCTGGGACACAGGAGGGGTCTAATAAGTGCCGCTAGCATTCCAGGGTTGTTAGAGTCCCCAGGGCCAGGCTGGGGTGGACCTGCTGTGCTGGGGGCTGTCCTGGTTTTGGGGGAGACTCCAGCGATGTGAGGAATGAATGAGCCAAAAACAATACTAGAAATACACTAGAGATGGGCAGGGCCTGTCTTGTAACCCCAACACTTGTGAGGCTGAGGCAGGAGGATTGCCTCAAGTCTAAGGCCAGCCTGGGCTACACAGTGAGTTCAAGTCCAGCCTCAACTATATGGCAAGACAGTCTCAAAAACCAACCAACCAATGGACCAAACAAACAAATGAGGACATGAAAAAAATACAGAAATGAGCCAAGAAGGAGGCAAGGTGCTGCCCTCCCTCAGCACCTGCCCCTGGCCCTAAGGCCAGGCTTACATGGGACTTGGGTGCATCCCCAGCACGGCCCAGCTTAGGGGCCTCGGCTTGCGAAACATGGTTCCCCAACCACACAACTGTGGGGACCGCTGAATATTCCAGCTTCCTCTGGCCTTCTGGGGTACAAAGTAAAGGTTTGTTTTGTTTGTTTGTTTGTTTGAGACAGGGTCTCGCTATGTAGTTGAGACTGCCCTGCAATTCACTATGCAGCCCAGGCTGGTCTCAAACTCACAGTGACCCTCCTGCCTCAGCCTCCCGAGTGCTGGGATTACAGGTGTGCGCCACCACGCCTGGCTCCGCCTCGCCTCTTGACCTGCTATGAGTCATGCTGTGAGTCCCTGCGGTCTGTCTCCTCTCTTGCCAGAAGCAGTCTCTGAAAAGGTGGCTGGCCCCACTCTTTGCAAGAAAAACACTCTCTGTAATTCGAGTCCATCCATCTGTGGCATAAACAAAGGCGAGAAAGCTCAGCCATAGTCTCTGGCACGGGTGGGGACACAGGTGCGTCAGGTGTGAGGCTGGAGGCGCTAGGCTCCAGCGCCACCTTGTGGACAGTGACGGTGGGGCCGCTGAGGCAGGCGGGGTCTACAAAACCCACCTGATCTGCGTCAGGACTTGAGCAGGAGGCCGCGCACCTCTGACTGCCAGAGCGGGGCAGGCTCCTCACCCTCTGCCCCACACTTGCGGATATACTGGAAGTTTTCCGTGCCGAAAGTAAGAACCCCAAATCCCCGGCCACAGAGGAATGAAGCCGGGGATGCGGCCTACAGCACAGAAGAGCCGCGAAGGACCCTGCAAGAAAGGCCCCGGGAGCGGCCACTCTGCAGAGGGAAAGCAGGTCCTGGCTGCGGGGACGCGGGGTGACCGCCAGGGGGCGTGAGGTGTGTGCTACCGGGGCTACGGAGATGTTCAAGAATTGATTACGTGCACTGATAAATTCACAATGCGCTGTACATATGGATATATATGAATGGTAGGCTATATAAATTATATCTCAAAGAAAGGTGGCTTTGTTTTGTTTTGTTTTGTTTTTTAAATACTGGGGATTGAACCCAGGGTCTGAGCTACATCCCTGTACTTTAAAAAAAAAATATTTTGAGACAAGTTCTTGCTAAATCACTAAGTTGCACAGGCTGGGCTCAAATTTGCCATCCTACCCCGGCCTTCCTCCCAGAGTGCTAGGAAAACAGGTTATGCTATCATATTCAGCTTAGTGTCCCCTCTGTTTTCAACTTTTTAGTTTGTTTGTTTGTTTGGTACTGAGGCTCGAACTCAGGACCTCGCATTTGTGAGGCAGGCACTGTGCCACTGAGCTAAATCCCCAGCCTTCTTTTTAGTTTTTTGAGACAGGGTCTCACTGTATAGTCCAGGCTGGTCTTGAACTCACTATGTAGCCCAGGCTGGCCTCAAACTTGCAGCGTTCCACCTGCCTCAGCTTCCTAAGTGCTGGGATTACAGGCGTGCGCCACCAGCCCTTCCCGCCTAAGCAATACGGTGTAACAATTTGCACAGCATTCGGGTTGCATTAGGTGCTACAAATCAGGCGGGGATGCTTTAGAGCGCCTGGGAGGGCTGTGTAAGGTACATGCAAACACAACGCTGTTTTATTTAAGGGATCTGGGCACCCACGGCTCCTGGCATTCTAGGGGAAACCTGAGCCAATCTCCCAGTACGAGGGATGGCTGTCCCTGTCTTTCCTCATTCATCCAAAAATCTACCTGGATGGAGAAGAGTGGGAACCAGGTGCAGGGGCTGGGGGACTCCTCAGCATGATCTTTGGCCACATTCACGACTTTACCGCAACATTGTTGTGTGTGAAATGAAAACCCCCAGCTCTGTCACACCCACCAGCCAGCAGGCAGCAGCACGAGGGCTGGAAACCCCTCCCGGCCACCCACAGGGTCTGGATTCGGTTGCCAGACGCCAGCTGCAGAGACCAGCAGGGCTGCCTAGGGATTGCATAACCCTGGTTGGGAAATGAGACACAGCGGCGCGCGAGGCCCTGCGTCAGTGTGCCTGCCTGGGAGGCCGCTGTTTGCCGACCACAGCTGTGCACCTCTGAGGCGCCAGGGCAAGCGCAGAGTAAGACCCAGTGCAAGGCCACCACAGGAGCCCCTGAGGCTCAATTGTGCGCACCTGCTGCAGGCGGATGTGCTGAAGCCCAACTTTGAGGTCTCAGAATGTGGCCTCTGTGGACAAGGGTTCTGGCAGACAAAATCAGAGATGCGGTCACGGGGGAAGCCCTGCTCCAGTCTGACCCCATTCCCTCTGCGGTCTTGCTCCATAGCCCAGGCTGGGCTCAAACTTGAGATCTTCCTGCCTCAGCTTCCTGAGTGCTGGGGTTACAGAAGGGCACCACCATGCCTGGCTTGGGATCCAGGAAAGCAGACACCGTTGAGGCATCTTGGACACACAACGGATACCAGCGGAGACTTCTACATGCCAGTGAGTACCAGGGGTCACCAGTAACCTCAAACCTGGGCCGGGTGGGGACGGGCGCTCCAGGACGCACCAGCCTTGCCCAACTCCCGGCCCCAGGCATCTGGTATCCCCGAGACAACCGACTTCTCCTTAGGACCCTCGGATTCCGGTACCTAGCTACAGTCACCAGAGTAAACCCATACGAAGCCAGAACACCCTGCTCTGTAAAAAGTGGGGCCAAGCGCCCCAGCCCAGGTGCTGAGCTGTGCACCAAACCCCGAGCGCTGGTCCTACCCATCCGCCGCAGACCTGGCGGGGTCCCGGGTGCTCCTCAGCCTCCCCCACCAGTGCAGCCTTTTCCACAGCCCCGAGGGTCATCTGCTCCCCATCACCGCGACCCAGTCCCAGTGCGACCCCACCTCCCTCTGTGGCTCTGTCCCCTCCCCCAGCACTGTGAGCCCAGTCTGTTCCTCTGTGGCACTTTCCGTGTTCCCTGCGTGCCCTCTGCCTCCCATCCCCAGCCGGGGCCTGCACACAGCTGGCGCGGGCTCGGTAACCCCGGAGCAGGTGCACTCACAGGTGATCTCCTCCGGGGCGAAGCCCAGCACCCGCAGGGCCTCCAGCGTCTCCTGGAACAGCTCCCGCTCCTGGCTGGGGGTGGACGACGGCCCGTTGGTCAGGAAGCGGTAGTGGGAGGAGGGCTCCAGGAGGAGGTCGGCTGCGGGGAGGGCGAGAGTCAGGCCGGGTGGGGTAGGCCCTTCCTGGCGCCAGCAGCCCTGCTTTTTGTTTTTGTTTTCTTGTGGTAATGGGGATGGAACCCAGGGCCTTTGCCCTGAACTACACCCCCAGGTCATTTTCTTTTTTGAGACAGGGTTTCTTAGGCTGGGCTCAAATTTGAGATCCTCCTGCCTCAGTTTCCCAGAGTGCTGGGACTGCGGGCGAGCGCCACCACGCCCAGCTGACCTGCTCTTCCAAAAGCCACCGAGAGTGAGCACCCGGATGACGGATGACCAGGGGCCCAGTGGCAGCAGGAAGCAGATGCAAGCTCCAGGGTGGAGGGGGACAGAGAAGGAGCAGCTGCCAGAGGGCAGGAGGGGCAGGAGCCGGGCCAGTATGGCTGCAGGTAGGAGTCGCAGTGCAAGGGCTGGAGCAAGAGCAGCCGCGAGGCTGCGGGACGCAGGGGCAGACACCGGGTCAGCGCAGTCAGGAGGCGCAGCGTGGGAGCCGGAGCCCAAGTGCGACCCGCGGGGTGCTGCGGGCAGGTGCAGGGAGAGGAGCTGAGACAGGAGAGGAGCGAGTGTGGCCGGACAGAGCTGGAGGCAGAGGGCAACAGAGACAGCGGCTACTGGCCCAGCCCATTCACGCCCCCCGCAGGCGCCGGAGGACGCTGACCTTTGAGCTGCTCTCCCGCGCCCCCCAGCAGCTGGTAGAAGATGTGAAAGCTGCACTCGTCCTTGGCCTGGCGGATGGCGCGCGACTTCTCCAGCAGGTCTGAGGCGGGGAGTCAAGGAGCATGCGAGGGGCAGGGGACCCCACCGGCCTCTCCTGTCAAATGGGGGGACGGCAGCCTCCGCCTCACAGGGAGGGGGTCTGGGCCGCAGGGCACTCGGAGGCGGCCACACTGCTGGGAGGGGTCCGAGCGCAGGCGGCCTGCGCTCCCCACCCGAGGCATC